TAAGAGATTGCCTCTCCTTTAATTTCCCCCAACTGCCTATTCTCTACCACCTGTGCCCTTTTTGTCACCCTACACTTTGCCTTCCAAGGTAGCAATCATCCCCGGATTGGCCCATCAGTGCAGCACAATACTGAAACTGCCCCATGAGGCCTCAGTCAGCTCAGCCCTGAGCTCTACTGTCATGTGCTCTGCTGCCCTAGCTGATCTTCACCATCTTCTTGCTCCTGCTGCTGATGAAGGGTTTTTGACCTAAACCTTTGTGAAGCAGCTCCTGCCTACAGGAGGCCAATTTCCCCTGATCTCTGGAAGAAATGCATGATGCGGGACTTGGAAAAGAAAGCCGTGCGCAGTCAGCAACTGCCTTGTGAAAGAGCATGCTTCATCAATAGCAGGAGCAAGACAGGGGATGTCAGCTAGGGTGGCAACGACTGAAATAAAAGGGGCCAAAATGGATAGATGGGGGAGATAGGCTGGTGGGGAATAAAGCACCCCTGCAGATGTAAGTGCAAGCAGATTGTGAAGCACCTGAATTTTGATCATGTGATCACAGGGGTCTGCAAAGGCCATAAGTTTGGGGATTGAGCATAAGTCCCTTTCTCCAGTACTATCATAACTTTTATATTACCATTATAATCTTGGGAAAGTCTTATGGACTTCATTATCAAATCTATTTTATACCAAGGAATCCCTACAATTAAAGCATAGCAGTAATAAGAGCTTACCTCTCAGAAATTTTTTGAGCAACATCATCATTTTCACTTACAAATTCCAATAGCTCTCTGAAACATACATTTGGATACAAATCAGAAAATGTTAGGTTCTTAAGATTGACTTTAGGCAGAATAAATACGAGCAAAAGGGAAGTCTGTTACATTTAATTGATTGTGTTTAGTTTGCTTTTTTTCAGCTTGCTATTTATGTCCTTGTTCATTTCTTGGAGTTTTAATTCAATAGAACTCTAAACCTTCCTTCAATAAAGCCATTAAGATACAATAAAATACAACATAAAAATAATGTAATATAAATTAAATAATCAAATAATTGTGTTAATGAAAAGAAAGGAAGGGCATCAAGAATAAAATATCAATCACAATCCATTTAGATATTTGGCCCCATGCATATATGTTTTTTATTTTGCCTTTAATTAAAAAAATAAAATTGTACAATACAAAAATAAAAGGAAGGAAAAAAAGCAAAGCAACTATATAAGTGTGTGTGTGTGTGTGTGTGTGTGTGATGTATATGAATTCACACACAAACACAACACAGTTTTATACAACAGTTTCAGCGAAGGATGATATTTCATTACAATCATCCATACATAATTATGCCTATAACAACTCATTGCTAACTCATGAGTAACACCAGCTCTTCAATCCACCGAGTAATTCGAATCATAAATTTATCATCCCAATTTGAAGGTCAGAGTCATGTAGAATTGGGCACTTATGAAAACCAACAAGCAACCAACCAATCAAATAAATGTCTTAGCAGTAATAAGGTAGCAGAGAATCCAGCTTTATTGTCTGGCCATTATTTCCAAGCAGTGGGTATTTAATTTTTTAAAAATGTATAAAATATTAAATCTTGTCTTAATTTTTTTATTATTGTACAATATAATCATTTTCCCAGAGTACAATAGCAATAACACTTAGACTTATATACTGCTTTACAGTGTTTTACAGCCCCTCTAAGCGTATACAGAGTCAGCATATTGCCACTACAATCTGGGTCCTCATTTTACCAACCTCGGAAGGATGGAAGGTTGAGTCAACCTTGAGCCTGTGAGACGTGAACTGCCAAACTACAAGCAGTCAGGAGAAGTAGCCTGCAGTACTGTATTCTAACCACTGCGCCAGCACAACCAATTAAGGGCATGTAAAAACATTTTAATAGCTTTATTCCCAATTGATCAACAAAAATATGATTTACTCATTCTTTCCTATGCAACAAGTCTGAAATGTTTTTTTTAATTAAGCCATAGTTTTATTAAACATTTTTAAATTAACCTAAATATCAAACATTATCAAAATTTCATATGGACATTAAGACAGTTTCTCATTATTTAAACATGTAAACTGCCAATTCCTTATTCCAATCAGTTTTTAAAACATGCCAGTCAAAATGATTTATGAACTTTTCTGTCTCATAATATTTAGTGATTACTTCTAATCATTTAGGTGTGCCTGAAGCTGAAAATGCTGATGTTCCAAATCTAGCTATCAAAACCTTCACCAATGTAGATCATTTTCCTGGGAGATATAAAAGATATTGTTTATGATGGCAATTGAAATCAGAATTGATTTATATATTTTATATAAACACATACAGACAATATTTTAAAACTGCCCATATGTCTCATAGAATGACTCTGGGTGACATACAAATAGAAACTTTAAAACTATATAAATATTATAATCAATTAAATTAAAAACAGGAATAAAATAGTTAGGCCAATAATAGGAATTGGCATCACTATAAAAGAAGGTCATAATGTGCAATGTTATGTGACTGTACAGTTTAGTGACTGGTTCTGGCCATCCTGGCTGCCATTGCTAAGCAAGAACTGTGAAGGTGAAGTTTTTAAGCAAGGATATCAATTGCCAGCATCCCCACTGACTTTGCTTGTGGGAAGCTGGCAGGGAACACTGGGAGTTGTGACTGGGGCTTGCTTAAATCTCGTCATTCTGAGTGGATGCCCAGATCCCAATCACATAAACATGGAGATTTCACGATGTGTGGCATTCCAAGGACCACTTGAAACTAACACTTATTCAGTGTTGTTGTTAAGTTTAAACAGTTGTCAAACAACCGTTGTTAATGAAGGACCACCTTTAACTGGAAATCCCTTTTATAGCAACTAAACTTCTATCTATAAAAATAGATTTCATCTAGTCTCAATCATATAAAAATCAGTTTAATCCAGCCTAAACCATGGAATGCATTCTGTATGAATCTATCTTTGAAGGTAGTGCATAGATTTTAATTCAGCTATCTCTGCCTCATTATTGAAGATTTTGTCAAATATGATGCATAATCCTAAATAGTTTTGTATTATTAATATTTTAAACAAATAATTAGTTCTAACTGTTTTAACTGTTTAACTGCAGTTTTAACATCTCACCTCACATTAGAAAGATCAGATTGAACTGGGATATAGTGAACCCAAGGTTTCAGTTGTGGATAGAAGAATTCTTGCCAATCTTCTCCAACATGAAAGATCAAAGAACCACACAGGAAAAGGTGTTTGAAACGAAAACTGGCTGCAACTCCTCGAAAATTGAAGAGGTATCTTATATTAAAAACAAACAAACACTTGTCTTAAAGTATGGCTCTTGTCCAATAATGAGAATATTTATATTTACCTTACAGAAAGATAAACTTATTTTACTCTTCTACAAAGTGAATCTATAGTATAATCTTAATACTGTATGATAAAAATATTTCATTCAAATATTGCCACAGAAGCCAAAACTAGAAGCAGTAAATGCAAAGTCTAAATTGTTGCATCTTCTGCACTCTTCATTTAATCCTTGCTCCTTGCTCCTACTGAGCCCATATAAATAAATGAACATACCATAGAGCATATATGTATATTTCAGCTAAAATGTTCACCAATCTCTTAACAACCACAGTGGAGCTAAAAGAAGTAAGAGGCTGCATTCTGCCAGTACAATGAAAAGTCTCCAAATGAAAGAATTCCCAATTTCTATTCTTAGCAATGTTTTGCTCTTTGCAAGAGATGCCAAGTCATTTAAAATACCAGTCTCTCAGCGGCATCATTTTATCATCTAAACATAACTGAAAATTCTTGCTTTACCACCCCAGGGGCCTGTGATGACTAACTCCTTTGGTTCTGGGTATCACAGCAACTACAGATAACCTAAGGAGTTTAATCATATCAATTACTTATTAATGCTGAATAGCCTACAGGAGATACAGAGAGTCTTAGAGATTCCTGGAATACATTCCTTGAATTACAGTAACCCAGCTGTAAATCACGAATGACAGAAACTCATAGCACTACAACTCAAATAGAATATTTAGAAAAATTAAATCTGCATAGTACCAATAGCATTTATATGTTCCTAACTTATAAAAAAAATCAGGACATAACCATGAAGTTCAAGCAAACAATTAAAACTGAACTATCAGCTAAGCGTTATTGGATGGGAATCCTGGCCTTCAATGCCAATCTAAGAGCTAGTTTTTCTAAATTTAAGGCTAGTATTGATACGGGTACCAATGAATTTCATGACAATTCCATTGCTTTCAGATATTTATACTGAACTGACATGTATTCAGATATTTACCAAGATTGAATCAAATACATACTTGAATTTACAATGGTCTACTAGTGGAACTTCTGTTGCAGGTGGTCTCCCAAGAGTATCCTTTAAAAAAAAAGGTTTTTTTAAAATATCTGTAACCACTTTCCTAAAAACTATAATAGAAATGTTATACAAAAAGATGCAGTATTTACACATTTACACAGATACACATTTTTTTCAATAGAATGTATCATTAAAGTTATTACTGTAAGCCAAGCAATCTAAGGACTAACTAGCTAAATATTCAATTCATTAATTTTCTTAGAGTGCAGCCATAAACAAGCTTTCTTAGAATGTTCATTGATTTTTTTTCTTCCAAATAAGCATTCATTCACATACACAAACGCTGTGTAGTATTTTTATTTCACATATGCAACAAGCTGTGGTTTTCTTTAATCCATTTTCCTGTCTTGCACTGATTAGAACTGCCATATTTAATATAAGTTGTTTATTTATTCAATTTATATGCTAATCCATTTTTGTAGACTCTGAGCAGCTGGTCAGATATGCCCCAAGACTTCTCATCACTTTCCATATAAATAACTGCAGCTGTGAACTGTTATTTTTAATACAGAATGCTTCAAAATACAGAAATAATTATAAACCCTTAAGGTTTTAAACTATGCAGAACTCATATTGACCTAAACGTTAGTTCCGATACTGGACATCTTTCTTTTTATGATGAGATCCAATACCAACACATTAATAGAGTACAGTACAAA